TTTCCATTCATGCAAACAGTGCTTCTTTATTTAACAATTACAGGCTTTTAAAATTTTTAAATATAGGCTAAAATCCATACTCGTTGCTGCTCATTTAATAAAAAAAGTAAAGGAACAGCAGATTTAGTAACAAGCATTCGAGTACAGGTACTTGTAAGCAAAATAGCCAGCAGAGGGAGCATAAAAACAAAGAAAATAAAACCCCCAAAGAGCTCTTCTTCCTTGTATATATTTTTCATGACCTTAGCTTTCTTTTAGAATGGAATCATAGTGCCAAAAGTGTAAAAAATAGAATAGTGTAAAAACCACCCACTGAATTTTAAAGTATTAAACATAATGACTTGAAACTAAATACTTTTTTAAATAGCATTTAAAAAAAATTAGCTCATATTAGTCTCACCAAACACATAAGGTTAACATCGACCAACAGGCCGCATAAGCTATATCCAATTTATAAATCCACACATGCAGATACTCTCATTCTTATTTTCCAAATAAAAAACTGAGTTCATGATTTGAGTACACTGAATGTTAGATACAAACTATTTGTATTAGAATACAGCACAAAGTATTAGAAGTGAACAAAAGGCACTGTTCTACTGATCTGCACAACAAACGATTTAAAAGCAAGTAAGCCAAGTATACTCCCTAGATCCATAGTGGGAATGAGCATTTACAGGTCTGTTTCAAAATCAAGTCACTGCGTTATGCATATGCTGAAATAAAAACTCGTGCTTTCAGGTTTTCATCATGTCCAACCAACAAGCATGGCTTAAGCATGAGCAAAAGGAAGCAGAACACAAACAGGGTGATTGGAGCAGCCAAATTTGTGTTAGAATCTTAAATGGGCTGCCATCCTCCTCACGCAAGTGATAAGAGAAATCATCTCCCAGCTCACCTACACTATCCCACCGTGCATAATCGCACCTTCCACAGTCCATTTTACATGAGGAGCAAGCTTACTGAGTTAACAGTAAAGGCATCACCTCCCCTCTCAAGGCCTGTGAGGGCTAGGTACCCCTAAGCCATCAGGCAAACATGAACAGCTGAGCTGAGAAGTCAAAGGGATAGAGGATTAGTTATTTCAAATTTAAACTGCATGCTTTATAGGCAACCATTTGTAGAAATACCGACTTGGGCAAGCAAGTCCTTTCTCACTCGTGCCCACAGTTTCCATTCCCTTTCCATGCCATTCCCTGCTGTCTGCCCCCTGTATCAGTTTGTTATCCCCCTAAACAGAATGGCAGTGCTTCAGACCAGGATGCATGGTGTTCCTATACATTAATGCAAAAATGTGGTATTATAAAACATCAGTCCCGATGGGAGCCACTGAATGACATCACTCATGATGATAAGTATACACTGCATTAGTGACAATTTGGCTTTCAATTAAAGTGGAGCCAGAATCCCTGGGTGAAAACCAGAAACAATTGTTTTCTACATCAACATCTACATTTTAAGGATGATTTAATTGTAAAACCAAACCCTGTCCACCTTTACACATGGGATTCATTGGTGAAATCAGCATTTGGATGACGAAACCCTGATTACAAGTAATGAATATACAGACCAGGAAAGAGAGTCAAGCCAAGATTAATTTTCCCATTAGCACAGGTAACAGAAACACCTTTAACTTTAGTTAAACTTTAATTGCTATTTTCTTCCACAACACTACAGATCTTACACCTAGTCTTTCTTAAGAGTACTACTCAATCAGGAAATCTTAGCATCTGGCACATGAAGGTGCAGGATAAACTTGCAGCATCACAAAAGAATAAAAAAAGGCAGATAAAAGGTAACTTTATAAAATACCAATATACCGATAATACTCTAATAAGCAGAAATCCACACACACTGTAAAATACCTGTGAGCAGACTCACAGGACACAGACAAAATACGCTATATATGTGCAGCACGAGAGCCCTCGAATGTAGCAGGAACACGGGATTCACCCCTGAAGGCAAGCCATTTCACAGAAACCTGGAATCCCTGGCAGCTTGCAGTATCCTAAATATGATAGAACTCCACTGGAGAACTGTACTGGGTTGTTAAGATACTAGAAGTTCCTCAAAACACTATGTTACACACAAGGATACAAATTGTAGACGGCTAAGGAAAACACCACACCACCTCATGTGAGTTTCTTCAGTCTAGTCCAGGGCTTTATTACGGATCTTAAAAACAAAAATAGTCAGATACGGCACAAACTGAATATTACAGAACCTAAACTTTTAATAATATCAAGAACCGTCTAACAAAATCCTCACTGGAGAGCATGCAAATCAAAAGAACTCAGAGCAAAAAGAATACATCTCTAGTAATTTTGTTGGCTTCCAGCTTTAAGGATTATGTTCAGTCACTTTTAAATCTCCCTTCCAAGAGAGCTCATTTCAATTCTCTTCCCTATAGAACTCTTCGGTTTCCCTATGAAAACATTTAGAATTTTTGTCTTTAAAGTCAGACAGTGTATATGCATATATACGTATGACTTAGAACCTAAAATACAATTCAGAAAACAAAAGCTATGAAATGCAGCACATTATCTTCATTATTCTACATGATCTCATCCTCTACAGAACAATAATAGCCTTCTGGCTGCACTGTATCTAGGACCGTGCACAGTACTCCAAACAGTTGGACAAGTGCTCTTTGGAGTAGCTACACTGGAACGTGCACTGGAAGTGTCGTGTTTGACTTCCCTCCATTCCTTTTTTCAGCCTAGTTTCCTAAGGAAATCAGACTTAGGCAATCACTCAGGGAGGGAGAGAAGTGTATGCATATGCATATACACATGCATGTGAATGTCTGTCTGACCTCACTAATACCTTTTGAGCCTGCTGGCCAGTTTCAATCACATTCAGAAGAGGAGTAGAGATATCAGACATTTAAGTTCTTGAAAGTTTCACGAGAGCATTCTGCAGAGCACAGAAAAGTGACTTCACAGAGTCAGGCTGCGTGTCTTCTTAGATGTCACTAAGTTCACAGTGGAAAGAACCATTCTGCTTCTCTGCCTGCAGGAAAATCTTCAGTTAGAGGTCATAATCACTCAAAGATGACCAGGTCTCTTGTGTTCAAGTGTTCATAAAATAGCTTAAGTTGCATTCACCACTGCTTTTAAAATGGTGTTTTGTATAGAGCTGAGGTTTTCTGTGTCATCTTTTTCTTGGTCTAGCATAGGAGTGAACTGCCCTAAATCACACATGTTCCCTGGCTTAGCCCCTTGCTCCCGAGACGACTTATTTTGAAACATCAGAATTGTACCGCACATGACAGCATGCTACCCCTCTCAAACACAGAGAAAATAAAAACTGTAAGAGCTTAGGATTTCCTTCAGACCTCAAAACTAAACAAGTGTGTGGCTCTGTAACATAATCGACTATTGAATAAAGTTTCAAAAAGACAATGCAGCAAATATATAGTAATATTTATTCACCCCATCAGAGAACGGAACAAGTACTGCCACACTTGCAGGCTATTGTGCTAAAGATAGCTGTAAGACAAAAAGATAAATAATGAGGTTTCAACCAATATCTCCACAGTTCCTCCCATATCCCCCCAAAATACATACATGCGTACACTATGTACTAGTCACCTGTATCCAAAAAGCCACCGAATAGAAGTGTATGCTAACAGATTTGCATGCAAGTTTAGGGAGACTAAAGCACGTAACTATGATTTAAGAAATTGTCACAAAAGAAAAAAACCCGCGGCTGACTGAAATCACCCTCATTGTCATACACTAAACAAGGGGAAAAAATAAACCAGAGTTTATGATTAAAAAAAAAAAAAAAAAAAAAGAAAGTATTTTAGCTCTGTTGCACCTCGTCTTGGCCATTTATCAACCCCAGCACACTGCCCGGCGCGCCGCTGGAGCTGAGCAAGGGCTGGCAGGAGGGCACGGGCAGCCCGACCCGGGGAGGTTTCAGCCTCAAACCCCGGAGGCGCCCACCCGGCGGGGCATAGTCTATCAGTGAGACGACTCGGAGAGGGAAGGCTGCAGCGGCAGGCTAGGGGCGAGACACCCGAGGGGGCGCCGGGCCGCGTCTGCATGAACAGGGAGTTTCTGCCCATGCGAAACCCTCCACCACCACCCCCAACCCGGCTTAACAGCTTGGGCCGGCCAGAGGACCCCGCTACCTCTGGGCTCCCTGCTCCAGCGCGGGGAGGGCACTCGCCGAGCCCCGCACCGAGAGGCCGAGGAGCCGCTCTCGCCCAGCTCCCGCCTCCAGATAGGGCGAGCGCGACCCCGCGCCCGGTTTCGGTGAAAGCCGGCGAGGATTGAGCCGGCAGCGGAAGCGGCTCGCTGCGGAGCGCCCTTCGCGGAGCGCCTCTGCGCCCCCGGTATGCCGTTCTCCCGTCACTATCACCGTTACAGCGCCGGCCCCCAGCGAGAAGCACGTTTCCCCTCCGGCTCCTTGCCCGCCTCGCAACGAGCCACGGCCGGGAAAGGCGGCACCCAGTACCACAGCCGGATCAGAAACACGGAATTTGCACGCGTACGGCAGATCTGACAGGGGATGCAGGAAGAAGAGATACATTCCACCCTTTTTCGGTTCTCCGCCGCCGCTTTTCTGTCATTTGCCGATACCATAATGCTTCCTTATTGCTACTCAAGTAAGTAGGGGGGAGTCTCCATTTCTGTACGTCTCATTCCTGAGCAGATTAAGCATGCACCAAGTAAAAGGCTGGCACACACATAGGTAGAGTTGTCCGCCCCGAAACGATGCCGAAACCCACAAGGCGTTAACAGCTAGCTCCCACAAAGAGCACTCGGTTACACTGAGCATCCCCTTTGTCCGTGCATCCTCAGCACACACCCGGCCGCTCCTCCATGCGTCCACGCACGCCCCACGTATACGGCCCCTTTGTGTCTGCGTCTCCCCCTCACTCACAAAGAAATGCTCTTTCCTCCAGGCATGCACCCCGCCTCGGACACAGCCCTTCGCCTCCCCCCGAGACACGCGCGACCCGCCGCCTGGCACAGCGCCCCGGTACCTACTTGTGTTCAAGAAACAGTCCGTAAACCTCCTAAAGCAGCTTGTAGAATTAGATCCATCTTCCATGTCTGGCCCTAGGAGCAGGGGAGACGAGAAGGAGAAGAAGGCGCCTCTCTGCCGCTGCTGCCGCCTAGGAGTCCTGTTCCCGCCGGGGCCGTCACCGCCTCGGATCCCGTCGCCGCGGGCTGCTGCTGCTGCTGCAGCACCGAGGGAATTGTAGGACCACGGGGGAGAGGCGGCTGGAGAGAGGAGGAGCCGGGAGTGGTGCTGCCGGGGGCCGCCGGCTGCGGAACGGAGCAGCAAGCCCTGGATGGAGGAAGAACAGAAGAGTCTCCTCCTGCCGCTGCCGCCTGGATGGGCGATCAAGTGAGCTGCTGCTGCTCCGCCAACATCTCTTCCTCCTCCTCCTCCTCCTGCCGCTCTTGTTGCCTCTCCTCCTCCTTCCCTCCCTTGGAGACTTGTGAGGTTAAAGGAAGACAAGGAGGGGAAATGAGGAGGCGGCGGCAAGAAGTAAAAGGAAAATGGAGAAGCGGAGGAAAAGGAGGGGACTGGAGCGAGGAAAGGAGCCGCTGCTGCTCTGGGGACGATGCTGGCGTTGGCGGCGGAGGAGGCTGTCCCTGCAGCGCGGCTTCTGCTGCTGCTGGTGGTTGTTAGGAGGAGAAAGAGGGAGCTGCAGGCAGCCGAGCTGCCTCCAGGAGCGGGGGGAGGAGGAGACCCGCCGCTGCCTCCACCTCCGCCGCTCTGTCCATGGGAGTGGAGCGGGTGGCTGCCGGAGCCGGGCTTTTCCCCGGGTGCTGCAGCCAGGGGGGCCGAGGGGCGGGATATGATCCGCTTCTCCGGGTTGGACATGCTTCCGCTCTTCCCTCCCTTTCGCAGTAGTTTAAGGCAGGACGTCTAGGAGAGATACCGGAGTAAAGCGAAAGGGAAAGCCGAAGAAAGACGGCGCCAGACAAAACCAACGGCGGTTCGGTCTTCGGTTCCCTCCAGCGACCTGCGGACAGTATTTCCTTCGCGTCCCGTCTCCCGGCACGCACGGAATGCTCACATTTCCGTTCCCCCTTTAGGCCGGAGGGGACAGGGCGCTACTGACCGCCAAGCGGTTCGGATCCCCTTTCAAAGTCTGGTTTTCCTCATGCTCCCACCTCTCATTCAAAGCAAGAAACCGGCAACGATCTGTATTTTCTTCGAGCGGGGCAAAATACTGCCCCGAATGTCCGTGCTTGCCTGCAAAGAGGCAGATGAAACCACCGCAGTGCCGCTTCCAGCCGCGGCCCGGCCGCCAGAGAACGCCCACTGGCGGAGCCAGCGCTTCCCGGCTGCCGCCCTTCCTCCCGTTCCTTACCGGCGCGCACAAGGGAGCGATGGCACCGCAGCTACCTAAAGGGACCGCAGAGAGACACGCGAGTAAAAAAGATCCTCCCTATGCGAACTCGTTATTTTAAACAAGATATTTCCATCTACCGAGATCAAAAAGCAGGTGCCCTGCGGCGGCTGGGATGAAAGTGCCAGCGTGCCGCCCCTCCGTTTCTGTGGGGCATCAAATCCCCGTTCCCATGCGGAGATGCACAGTTCCTCCTCGCTGCCCCACATCACACGTGTTTGCGCCACACACGCCCCTCCAGCCACTCCCCGTTAACCCCCTTGGCACACTTGCAGCTACACACCGCTCATCCCCAGCCCTCCAAGGCGTCCAGTTCCCCGAGGGGATACCTCAGACGCTGGCCTCTAGTGCGCCGTGGCTCCAGGGCCGCCACCGGCCTTGCTCCACAGGCACAGGCAGCGCCGTTCGCCAACGAAGCCCGTCGAGCCAGCACTCTGACGCCCTGGCGGGGTCCCCCGGCGGGCGGGCGGGGTCCCGTCCCACAGCCCCCGGGCGGCCGCGCTCCGCTTGAAGGCGCGTCCTGCCACCTCCACCGGCCCTTCCGCCGCCGCCTCGCCACCCCGCCCCGCCAGCCTGGCCGCAGCACGCCCGTCCCGGCGGCACGGCGCCTAGGGGGGCCGCGCTACGGCGGCCCTCAGCGGGGCAGCCTCCTGGGGAAAGCCCGGCCGAGGGAAGCCCAAGGCCGGGCCCGGAGCGGAGCGGGGCCGAGGGCTGAGCTAGAAGCCCCCGCCCCACGTATTTCGTTTTCGCCCTGAACTCGCTTTGCCCTGGGCGCAGCCGTTGCCGAGAGGCAGGCGGAGAGAGGTCCAAGCCCGCAGGAGCTTACCTCCGACAGCGGAGAAGGGGCCAGGCATCACCAGCCACCGGCGGGGCTCTCTTCAGCCCGTCCGGGCACTGCCTTCGGGCCGGGCTGCTGCCGGCCTCTGAGGAGCCGTTGTCCCGCGCCGACTGTCAGCGTAACATCACCGCAGGGTAGCGGACAGCGCGTCCCTGCCCGCCCCTCCCGACACTCGGTCCCCTCGCCCCATCCGCAGCGAGGATCGTTCGTGTCCCGGGCAGCCCGTACGGCCCGAGTAGCCCCTGAGGCGGTGGCGCTCACCAAGGCGGGGTTCGGCCGGCCCTGCCCTCATCTCCCCTCGCCCGGCGGGCAGCGGCAGGGCCACAGGGCTCCCCCTTCTCCTCAGAGGGAGCACCGGGCTCAGAGTCTCGGCCCGGCCGCCACGCTGACAGCTGCCTCAGGGCACGGACCGCCAGCGCAAGGAACCTCACAGTGCTAAGCGGTGGGGCCAGTACACGCCGAATTACACTCGGCTCTGCTGGACGTCACGGCCGGGGCTTCCTCCTCTCATGTACCTGGTCGGGGCGGAGGGAACCGCGCTCCTCAGGTACACGGCCGGTTTCCCCGGCGCTGCCGCCCGCCAGCGGGGGGAGAAACGGCAACTGCGGCGGTCCTCGCCCGGCCGGGGCTGCCCTCCCCAGAGGCACTGGGAGCCGGCACCGCGGGAGCTGTTGCGGATACTCGCGGAGATGATGTTTCTTTGGCTGCTGGCAGCGGGGTCCCCGAAAAGCGGGAGATCCTGTTTTCCTCCTCTGCCTTCCGGGAGATCAAACCGCCGAGTCGTCAGTTGCCGCGGCAGGTGCTGTGTTAGCGGGTCTGTGGTGCCGGGTGCCCGTGGGAATCCTCACCGAACTACCGCGATCTTCTTATTCCAGCGCAAAATTACGCTCTTTCGAATTTCGACTCCTGCTTTGAAAACAATACAAACCTACGCTTTTGGTTTGTATCTAAAATCGTTCAAGTGTTTTATATAAATCATTTCAGGGCTTCTTTTAACGCTAGAATACACACTAACTCCTGTCAAAGTTAGAGCCTTTGCCTACTACTTCATCTGGAATGTTGCTAAATAAGATGCTCCTCTCAAAATAATAGCGCTTTCAAATTCAAGCGCATTTTCAGCCAGTTGAATGTTTCTTAACAGTGAGAAACAATTCACAGAGTTCGCAAAAGGTTTTAAGTGCCGAAACAGATTAAAGATTCTCAGCAAACAAACTAAAAACTTTAAAAACAAACAAAAACACTCCGAGCGGGCAGGTTTTACTAAACTGCTTTCATCTGAGTGGTTCTTAATATCTGTCGCCTAAAAATCCTGAACTAAAACACAGAAAACTACATCTGCCTTTGTGATCCATTTTCTGTTGGTATATTTGACTTTATCAAAACTTTCTAATTTATATGTCTGTTTATGTGAAATGCTTTCATTTCCTGAAGTCTCACCGTTACTTACTTTACATGCAGAGCTTTTCTCTCACAATTGCCGCAGGATAACTGGAGATCCAGCCAACGCTTAAATTCTCTTCGAGAAAGTTTAGCTCACGGAAACAGAACTTTAGTGAATTATGTTTTGTTGTTGCAGCCTGTTTGTTCTGCAATTAACAACTTCCCATTAGAAAATCTCTTACACTAAAATGTTTACATTGAAAGAGATAATCAGACTGAAATGACTGACAAAAAGCAAGAGCCATTCACCTGAAAAGAAAATGAAAGTTCCTCCTGTAGACAGATTATTCCCAAATTGTTCTGTCAATATCAAATCAGTGAAACTTTACACCGTCAATTTATAATTGTAGAAATCTTGTTTGACTATGCTAATCTACGCTAAATGCCTCAATTGCTGTCCATTCAAACTACAGTTGTTCAAATATCACTGCCTGAAACTGTGTATCTGTGTATTTATACAAGGAATATGAATTGAGTATGTATAAATATGTGTGTGTATATACAACAAACCAGGCAAAATACATTTTGATTTGTAAGAAATAATCAGATAGTCTAGACAAGCAGCTTTCAGGTTAAGGGTTAGCTCAAAACTGTTAATTTGATTATTATTCATTAGCCACTGCCGATTCATACCTGATTGGTCACCTGCTTCTTGGCTGGGCAAGCAAAAGCAATTACAGAAGAAAAGTTAGATGACAGTGAAAATCAGTTTTCAAGCTCTGTACATATATGATTGTAAAATACATGGAATTGCAGCCAAGTCAGATATGCTTGGTGGCCATTTCAGTACCTGGGGTTAAATTAGTGATGAATCACATCTGCTTTTTCCCCAGTATATCTCAATCTGGTTTTTCATCTCTCAGTCAGCATCACAGTTTCCATGCCACAGAGCAATGATGTCACTGATGCCACAGTGGTACTAATCATGTACCCAAGTCATTTACTGGAAAAGCCTTACCCACTCCCATAGGAATTATGTGTGTGACACAGGCTTGCTACAGCATCCCAAAAATGTTTTTTAAACTTCTGAAACACAAAGAAGTTAAAATTAAAGTACTTTGATGCATCCATTTGCAGCAGGTGCAGGGGTTCTGACATGAATGTATTGTGTTGATGCAATGATGACCAAAAGTCTTTGGTTGTATTTGCATGGGTAAATGTGATTTCACAAGAGTTCAGGAGCCAGACTACCCATGAAGCCAGCAGGAGGTCCAGGAGGAACTGGCCTGGTTTGAAAGCAGCAAGTAAGCCTGTTTGGCAGCAATTTTGAAATATTGGTCAAAATTCTTGAAGGAAAACATTATGGGGAAAAAGTAAATTCAAGTTAAAATAACAGTTGTTTGGTATCAAGTACAGCTTAAAACCAAACACCTGTTCTTTCCCCATTTTGTCTGCTGCATTTTAAGAGTGACAGTGACTCATCTTTTATGTGGTCCCAGTCTTTTGCCTGGTAAATCCTCTTACATAACTCATCATCTTTATATCCTAAGAGTCCCCTCTATGATGTATCACCAACACCCTAAAAAAAAAAAAAAACCAAACCAACAAAAAAAAAGGGAGGAGTAAGACAGATTATGGGAAAAGGGAATTTAGAGAAAATATAGGATGACAGCAGTAGAGGAGATAACTGAACCAACCATCTGAATGTGGGTGAGGCAGGAGCAGCCATGATGAAATACAGAGAAAGCAACCTGCTGCAGAGGTGGGGCAGGGAAAGCAAAAGGATACATGCAGCTAAAACCCAAGCTCTAGAGCTGAGTAAATACCATCCCCAATTAAATCCTTTATGGAGAAGTCCTGTTAAAGTTAATAAAAATAATTGCCTTTTTTTTTTTTTCTAGACATTATGTGCTAAATGATCTTACAGAATATAGTCATTATTACTGAGCTACTGAACTGCTATCATGAATTAGAAACCTACAGAAAATACATTGTTCCTAAAGCCTTATTCTATAAAGCTTTAGAGTAATTGATAGAGAGCCCTATTTCATAAGGGGTTCTTTTCAGGAATGATTATTATTACACACTGCATACACATGAGGAGAAATTTGTTTAAAGGGTATATATCAGCTGTTTTCTCTGATTCCCACAAAAACTCATACAAGCCACCTCTTTTGCACAGGAATATTAACTGCAAGTCTTGATAACATGCAATCATGTGCTAGCAGCCATCTTAAAAGTGGTTTGGGGAATTACCTATTCCAGATGCAAAAGAGATAGAGTGAGATCCAAAATGAACTGCAATTTGTTCAGCAAATCAAAGCAAGACATTTTTTTTTAACGAGTCCAGGTCTATTGAGAGGTAACTGACATATAGAAAAGAAAAACAAAAAGTAAATAAATATGTTGTTTGCTTTCAGTAGTTTGTTCAGCTCTGCTTATGTCACTTCATTTTCTTCTCTGCAAGGTGACAGCTGAAAGGTTATGTGGCTGGAGCTGTAAATAATCAAAGTTTCTCTAGAAGTGTGTTTCTAAATGGGAAAATTTGCTAGGAAAGACATGTTCTTCAGAGCTTTATCAGTGTACCCACCATCATACATCACAAATCATAGCACTTCCAGAGAAAATATGCAAAGTTTTTAGTATTATTTTTCAGGGGAAAATTGCAATTTATTACGGACAGAAGATATGTTCAAGGTAGAGCTTTTTTAATCTCAAAATTTTCAGGTAGACATATTGCTAGATATTAACACTGTAATGAAAAAAAAAAACTCTACTGTCAGTGTACAAAGGGAAAATACAATATTTACAATATCTGTACTCAGATTTGTGTCCTATGAAAAGCTGTGGAAGAAACTAAAGCAAACCTTATGATGCTATCTACCATTTTGTGCTGTCCTATGAAGCACAAAGATCAGATATTTATTGGTTTTGTTAAAAGGGTGTTCAGAAAAGGAGACTGCTGTTTGGGATTTGGTTATTTTGTTAAAGACGAGGACCTCC